TCTGATTAAACTTATAAAATTTCTAGATTGCTTATTTTATTACTTTTGTTGTCCTTAACAAGTATAATGGAGTTAAGAGATCATTGCATTTTAATCTAAATTTTATGAGTTTTGCCATTAGAAAATCACTTCTTAGATATCCAAAAATGGCAAAAAACTTTTGTACTAACACTTAAGAAATTTTCACTAATTAGTCATGTTCTTTTTGAAATACTTGTACTTTTGAAATACTTGAAATGAGATGTACATACTTGATAATTTCGTATATGTAGTACCTTCATTAATTAGAATTTTCATTATACTGTGAAAATATTTATAATATGCAGCTTAGCCTAATAGTTGTACTTCAATAAAGCTAGGCTAGCAGCTCCGCAAAGAAATTTCTTTGCTATGCAGACTAACTCCATTTGATGGTACTTTCTAGGTCATTAAATACTGTTACACAGAGGAGAGGTGCATATGTCTAAATTTTAAGTGAATCCAAATTCTGCCGACCGGGCTGGGTGAACGAATGCTTTTATAGTTTACCCGAGTAAATAACAAAGAGGCAATTCCCCTCAGAGCGTTGTCTTCAGAAGTATCCATTCTTTTAGACAGATGGCCATGTTTGGTTAAACAAACATGCAAACTGATTTTATAATACCTACCACTTAGTGTCCTGGATGCTCTGGCCATTTTCGATCTGCTCTTTTATCTGCTCTGACCGTTTTTAATGTATTATTTCTTGATATTTTTAAGGATTTTGTAGCAACTTTTAATATGCTTACTTACGTTTTCAGTATTTATACTAATTCTATATTGTAATGCACTGATTTCTTGCCCTTTATTATCACAAATTCCCAATTCTTACTATTTTACTATCAAATAAGGATCTCAAAGCACATTGTAGGGAATATACACTTCTTTTCCCTAGAGTTTAATGACTGTTTCTTCGACTTTCGTATTTCAGAACATCAGCAAATTAGATATAATATTGGAAATGTTACTTGATAGGCCTCTACCCTCTGAACCTTGGTTAGCATTAAATTTACCATACCATTGCTATTTCAATTTATGAGTAAAAAGAATTATAAATATACAACTTTTATTTAACTAAGAACAAAGAAGATTGTTTGAAAATTTTTCAGAGGAATGCAAAATTTTCGCAAACGTTTCAAAATTAAAGGTTGCAGGTTTTGATCACTGTTTCTTAGTGTGATATAGGTGTCTTTGTAATCTTAGGAGGAAGCTTAATGCAGTCCTATCTGAGATTTTCTTTTTCCTAGTTATTACGTATTCGTATTAGCTAAATGTAAAGAAATTAATAATGGTATTACAATTGGTATGAAATAGCATCTAATAAATTTTTCAGTTATTAGTTATTTACAAGTTAGTACTCGTATAGAGAAGGTAAAAATAATTGTAAATAAATCAAGCTGCTATCTACGCATGTTAGAGTCTTCCAAAAAATCGATACCTGAAATTGCATTTTATCAGCTATTTTAAGAATTTTATTTTCCCTTTGTATACTTCGTAATCATCCCATTAATTGGAGCAATAATGCAATCAAATTAATTTTCATAGTGATTGAGGATCTTTTTTAATTCAAGCAATATGGAATTCTCTATTTTTTATCTTCTAATAAACATACTTATCTGCACTATTAAATAATCCAGATATCGTTGCTGCATCTGAAGATGTTTTCAGTATTTATATCAAGATTGTTATTGATGGCCCAAGCTCAGACCATTGTATGATAGTACTTAATACTTCCTCAAAACTAAACACCATTAAATGCTGTAAAGTAAACAAAAAATGTAATTTTAAGAAAACAAGATTAAATTTTTCTTACAGTGAATTAGACATCGGCTTCTGAATTTTGACCACTGCCACTGTAAATCTATTGATATTGCTTTGACTAAATTTTGTTCTGATATTACCCAATAGGCCACAAGATAGATCGCTAGAGGAAGAATTAAAATTTATGCACGAATTTGAACTTCCACTTTGGAAAGTTTAAGAACAGAATATCAGTGCTGTCAAACTGACAGAAGAAACTTTGTCCTGATATATATATAGGCTCAAACAAAACATAATACTAAATTCAGAAAAGATGTTAAAAGAGCAATCCAAAACTGATGATTTTGTTTTCTATTGACTATACAAACTGTGGTAAAACAGTATTTCACATTGTAGAAATAAAACCAATATAACAAAGCTACCGAACAGACCAACTTTTGTCTCTGTAAAGGAGATTTTAAATAGCGGAGATTTTGTAAAGGCCTTCAAATTTTTTTGTTCGTCCTTAAAACTCAGCTGCGTATTTGAGAAGGAAAATAATTTCGGCAGAATTAAAACCACATAACCTTTGGACTGCTCAACCTTAATTATAAATTAGGAAGCATACACTACCGAATTCTAAAAAGGTTACAGAAGAATTATCTTCAAGTCTTGTGATACAAAAACAAAAGTCAGAAGAAGGGTGTATAGGACCCTTTTATTTGAACACAAAGAAGTAACAATTACCCAACTTGGGTTTACAACTTGGGTTTACAACTTGGGTTACAACAGTTTATTTTACAAAGGAAGACTGTATCTTTTGGCGCCTGAAATAAAGCTGAACCAATGGCCTAGGATAAGACTACCTTCCCGCTTGCCCCACGAACGTCACAGGCTCCACCGGCTTCAGCAAACCGTATGGAATGGTCTGATTTCCTGGTGGATACAATGAGGACCTCCATGAAATCCGCAGTGACATCTGATGGTTGCACATCGTTAACCAGTTGTTTAGAACTATTCGATAGTAATTTTTCACTGTATCCGTTTTCAGAATTTCATAAAATAACGATAGCTTCCACCGTCCTACGACGACAGGCTTTAAGCTTATACAAAGGGGATCATTCAATTTTTCTTAGGAGAAATACGTAATGAGACGTACACATTTGAGCAATTTAAGACAGTCGTGGTAAAAGCATTACCAGTGATAAAAGATAAAGATAAGTTAAATGCTGAATTATTTAGATAGTATCAAAGGATGGACGAAAGTATTTTGAGAAAAATTCAAATTATTAATTTATTGTGTGGGAAAAGGCCCAATAACGAAGTGATTCAGATTATAATGCTCTGACTATTGCCTCAAATTCAGGACGTTATTAAATTGAGAAACCCGAACACTTTGGAACAGCTGTTTGAGCTGGCAATTAAATCTGAATGCCAGAGGGCAGTTAAAAGTAAGCGTATTGTGAATTACGCCCAGATATCAAACGGACATTTCGTAGGCCGCTAGCGGAAAACAGGCGAACATTCATTCGCGGAAAAACTTTCAAAATCAAACAAGATGTAGTTTCGATGGCTTGCTTTCTATCTCAACAATATCAAAGATGTAAATTTCTGTGGATAGGCACGACTAGAGTGCCAAGTGATTGTGGCCACAAATATCAATTGCAAATAAATTTGGAATTAAAACTGCCTCGACTGCCAAATTCTTTAGATATTACCAAGTTAGCATTACTAGCATACTACGCAATGAAAATGTTCTTCAATATGGGTCTAATCATGCATCTGCAGTGTTCTGTCTTTTCCTTTGCTTTTATTATGACATATATATATATAGCCGTGATTAAAAGGAGAAAAAAATGTAGCAAATGTTGATGGCGAAGAACATAAATTCATATTGAAAAGGGATCTTGGCTGTTGAGGCAGTTTAAATTCCATTTTTATTTAAATTAACATTTGTGGCCACAATTCACTTGGCACGCTAACCGTGCCTATTATCAGAACATTTACATTTTTGGTAATGTTGCATTAGGAAGAGAAATAGCATCTAAGCAGCACAGAGGTTCAAGTTAAAAAGTGCACATTTATCCAATATGGAAGATCACCAAGATAAAGGTTTTGGTTTAGTTCAGAAAAGTTTCAATTCTGAAAATTTTGAGTTCAAGTTCGCAAATAGCTATGTCATCTAATTGCGAACAAACATCACATAGCATTACGCAAGCCATGCAAGATCTATTGAAGAGGTTAATTTTGATATATATATTATTCCTTATATTATTTTATCTTAATTTTTGCCTTGCCGGCACTTATAACTAGCTCAATTACACTTAATTATGTAGCCCCGCATTCCTGATCAGTGGTTTTTCGTCTTCCTTTTGCCCTCTGATTGTTAGATGTTTTCAGGAGTTCTCATACTTTTAAATAGTACTTCAGCTTCTCAAGTTTAATCTTATTTTTTCACCCCTATTAGTCAGCATCTTCAACACATTATAAAATGCAACACATTCTTACTACACATTCTTGGGAGACATTATAAAATGCAACTCTGAAGGATACACAAAATTATCTCAATTCATTGCATTCATTGACACAAGCACGGATAGGCTACTTTCTATAGTTCTTTTCTTTTCTCAATCTAAAAATTAAATTTTTTTTTTTTTCTATTTTTATTTGATTATCTTTAAGAAAGCCTTTTCTGTCTGCAATAAATTTTAAATGAGCCTTTAATTTGTATTTTTTTCTTCGTCCTTTGTTATTCGGTTTGTTTGTTCGTTTGTTGTTGTTTCAATTGTTCAAATTCGGATAAAATACAGGGAACTTTCTCCTTCGACACGCCAAACATTTGCGAGCAAAATGATTTAGTGGATGCAAAACAAGACCATGAAATGTAACCAGTTGGATTGTTGAATTAATTTTCTATTCATTTCCTTGTAGTTATCACTTTAGTTTTTATTAATGTTAAACATTTTATATTAATAAAAACTAAAGTGATTAGTTTTTATTAATGTTAAACATTCGTATAAATGTTCTACCAGATTTTATTTTTTTCTTACCTGTTACTAAATGATTCGCTAATTTCTTTCGAATTTTAGAAGGGGTTCACAAGGAGAAAAAGGTTGGGAACCACTATAAGAAATAATATATAGATCTTATTGTTATTTCAAAGTTCTTTCCTTATTTTGGAAAAAACTTTGTTTTCATGTATGGCAACATTGCTCTAGTTTCGAAACGTTGTTATTGTTAAGATGTGCGTGAAACAGCGAATAAATAACATGGATTTATTCCAAATTTGTTTGAAATTTTCATTCCTTATTACGTAAGGCGAAATGTTGGTTCTACGTAGGATTTTTTCGTATTACTCTGAATTCTAATAATAATAATAAAAAAGATGATTTTATATATATTTAATGCAAATTTGATTATGATTACAAAGTATTGCGTGAGTAAAGTTTAACTATTTTGAGTACATCAAAGAAATTTCACGTAAATGGTGCTTATGAAATATTCTTTTAAAAGTTTGCTGTTTAAATATTTGCGTGGTATATGTAGAACATGTGCATTGATTTGCTTGCTTAAAGTGACTTTAAATCAAGATAAATACATACCGAAAATGTATAGTATTAGTAAATATTGTCCAGTTGTTCAGCATTGTCTGATTATTCTAGAGTAGTCTAACACTTATGTGTACATATATAGCATCTTTATATAAATTCATAATTAAAGGCTATTTATATTTAGTGATAAAGTCATAATACTGTGAAGTGCAACACAGTTTACCAAAATAATCTTGAAAGTCATAGCATACTTACGTTGAGCAATATATGAGCCTCGTGCATAGTGTGTTTTAATGTGTTTATATTCATGTGTGTGTATACATTATTCAGAAAACTAGTGAAGCATCTTAAGAATAAATCTGGGTAGCATTTAATGTAACAAACACTTTTTATATTCATGCAGAATAGAAACTTGATCATGCGGTATATAGCAAATCACATGCAATCAAGATTTTGCTTTGTGCTATCTTTATGATGAAAAAAAAATTCATTTTTGTTAAGTATGTATCTAGTCAAATGGGAAAAAGTATTTAAAAAGTATGTATGCTTATTCACTGCAAAGATAGGTGCATGTGTGTATAGTATGTAATGAGTTATTTAGATGAAAGAATTATTTTAAATAGTGTATGTGTCTTCACACAGGAGAGAAACATCTTATCAGTGATTTATGTGAAAAAGACAGTATTTTAATTCATGATTTATGTAAAAAAGAGAGTATTTCAAAAAGAGGCTATTTTAATGGAGCATATTTTTATCCGCACTAGAGAGAAACCTCACATGTGTGAGGTTTGTAAGAAGTCATTTATAAGAAAAGGTGATTTATTCAAGCATGTTCTTATTCACACAGGAGAAAAACCTCATGTGTGTGAAATATGCAACAAGTCATTTGGAAGAAAGAGTATATTGAAAGAGCACATGCTTATCCACACAGGAGAAAAATTTCATGTGTGTCAGGTATGTAATAAGTCATTTAGACAAAAGAGTAATTTGAACACACATGTGCTTATCCATATAGGAGTAAAACCATATGTATGTCAAATGTGTAACAAGTCATTTAGACAAAAGGGTGATTTAAATATACATATGCTTACTCACACAGGACAAAAACCTCATGTGTGTGAAGTGTGTAATAAATCATTTGGACAAAAAGGTAATTTAAATACACATATGGTTATCCACACAGGAAGAAAACCTCATGTATGTGTGATATGTGGCAAGTCATTTGGAATAAAAAGTAACTTGAAAGAACATATGCTTATTCACACGGGAGAGAAACCTCATGTGTGTGAAGTATGTAATAAATCATTTGGACGAAAGGGTAATTTAAAAACACATATGCTTCTTCTTCATACAAAAGAAGATCTCCATCCGTGACATACTTTGGAAGGGAAGTTAGGCTAATAAGAATATTACCTTTTTATATAGGTGGCAGCTTGTCTGTATAATAGAGAAACCATATTACAAAAGGATGGATCATGTCATTTTGGCTAAATACTTAATAAATCATTTATTTGTAAGCAGAGGAGAAATACCCAATATATGCGAGTTGGGAGTGAATTTAAGGAATGGTGATTTCAAGTTACATTTGGGTCTCTATTGTATGTGAGAAATCTTTCTTATGAAAGAAGAAAATCTAGCAGTGAAAAATTTTGAGACTTAATATCTTGCCTAGAATCAATGACTATAAATCTCCTCCCCCTTTTTTTTTTCAATTTTATGTTTTTCCCTTGAATGACATATATTAAAATATTTAGTGAAAAACAAGAACTTGAAATATGCTGTTTCATAACAGCAAAGTTCGTTCAGTACTCTCCCATCCCCGCCCTTTTTTTTTTTTTTTTTTTTTCCCAATTTTGTGTTTTTGCCCTGAATGACATTTGTTAAAGTGTTTAGTGAAAAACTCAAGAACTTGAAGTATGCTGTTTTGTGACATCATGTTTAGCATTGGAGATGCAAGGTTTTTCTCTTCCTTATCTGAAGAAAATTTCTTCCTCTGTAATACTTTTTTCAATGTTGAAAATATTCCAAAACCAAATATTAGTAAAGTCAATGTTGTATACAGGGTTTCTCATGTTGACAGATTGATTTCAGAAAATTCTACACCGGCAGAATATGTGCCCTGGAGCAAAAGCTTTTTTTTAGGAAATGCGGTCTTTTTTTCTCATTGCCAAATGCAAATGGTTTTCAAAATGTTAAATATATAATAATTAGTGTTTGCTCTCTGCCTCTCGATATGTAATGTTTGACATCTGTAGCCACGTTGGGTAGCTTTCGAGAACATACTGTATGGATCACTCACATGTTGCTCCTGAGACTGCTTTTACTGTTGTATGGTTAAATGTTTTATCAAAATGTGGACTGTGTAAAATTACAAGTGTTTTGATGTGTTTTGATGTGTCAGATTATAACATTCAAACAAAACCCAGTATTAAATTGCTAATCTTCGAAATGAAAAATCGAAGCAGTCTCAGAAATTTTTAGTCAAATATTAGTACTTACATATTAATGCAACCATCATGATGCAATTTGGCATCTTTTTATGCATGAAAAAGAAGGATGCAAAGTATTATTGTGTATATATTTTGCATTCTGAGTAAGTATTTATCTCAAAAAATGCATAAATAAACCTACTTACAAGCTGTTGTTATTTCTTTTGTTCTGGTGGAAATTTTGTGGCAGTCTGTTTTAACAGATTCAAAACCATTGTTCCCTTTAGCAATTTTATGGCAAAATACTGTATTCGTGCAGAAATTTAAGCACAGTTTCTTCTATTGCCAAAAAAATCCTGAAATGCATATTTTAAAATTTAGTTTAAGACCAAAAAAAAAAAAAAAAAAAAATGTTGGCTAAAGTGGTTAGGCTAATGTGTAAGAACCAAATATTCTATGCATCATTACTGTAGAGTAGGGCGTCTTCAACCTTTCACGCCCGAGGGCCACATAAATAAATTCAGAAAGATCCGCGAGCCACATGTCCGTCAAAAAAATAGTGTAGTCAGAAAATTTATATAAAAAAAGGTTTGTTTTGCAAGACTACAATTGATTCTAAGCAAAGAGATAGTGTGTATATATATATACATTGGTTCCAAAAAGTTAACTAGGTATTGAATCAAAATGTTTTGCAACTTTTTTTAACTATGAAAAAAGTATAAAGATGATTGTACAGAACAATGTTACAAAATGCATTTACAATAAAAAAAAAAAAAAAAAACTTACATTACTGGCGGGAGGAGATGGTAATTACTTTAGTTGTAACGTGAAATTTGCCATTGTTTTTGCTTGATTAAAGCTTTAATATCCAGTTTAATCTGTGTTGCAATTCGTAAAGTTTTCTCCAAATGTGTGCCTGCCATGTTCTTGTTTTTGATTTTGGGATTTCATTTTACTAAAAGCTGTTCACATATGTAGGTACTACCAAAGATAGAAGATTGCATGTTTATGAATTCCTGACTACTTGTGTTCGGTCACGTACTTCGAATAAAAATCAATTAATGAAGGATTTTCAAGAAACTTTCATTTTACTGGAGAGGCATACTGTAAATCTATAAATTCTAATTGAAGTTCAGGTGGACCACTTCTAACGTCTGCTGAAAATGGCAAGAACATTCTAAAAAAATTTCATTTTTACGAAAATCGAAAAATCTGCTTTTGAATTCCTCTTTCAAATTTGAAATGCTATTGTACATAATTATTTGAATTCCATGTTGTAGAGTTCTTCATACACTCCATCAATTTTGGAAAGTGAGTGGAAGTCTTATTTAGCAACTGACTTTCCCACAGAATAAATTTTTTCTGAAAAGCTTGCACAAAGTAATAAAGGTCATCTTTATTACTTTATGAAATGAACAAATAGATCTTTTCCCAGTAAGCGGTAGTTCAAACCATTGAGATGACCTGTCGACAAGAAATTCAAAGTCTCTCAACCATTTTTCATTACTAAACTCATGCGGCACACTCAAGGTAACCTTGGCGAAGTATTGACGAAAGATTGACATCTGTTGTAAACCTGTTAGATATAAGAATCTAGCCTTTTTATAAAATTGACATTTTATACATAGTCAAATGTTTTATTTTTTAAATTACGTAAGATAAAGTGAAATATTTAAAAATTTCTTCGTTTTGAGAAAATTTTATCTCAAGTAATATCAGGCGTGTCAATAAAATGTTTTCAATATCAAGAATAAGAGAAAAAAAAAATTTGTTGACATAAAGACAATTTTTCTTGAAATCAAAAATTCTTAAACTTCTTCAAATTCAAATGTGGGGCCACTATAATGCCTTCCATGGGGCACGGGTTGAAGACCCCTACTGTAGAGGAACCTCAAGTAAGAAGCTAATTTGGAAAAATGAGTCACTTGAAAAATGCTTCATTATTAAGAAAGTTATGTAAAAATAGCTATGTTGCTATTTACAAAGGTAGGATTTTTCCCAGAATAGGATCCTGCTTGCTGATGATTTTTTGAATGAGCAACTGGTCAATAAAATTTCAAATGCTTCAAGAAATAACAATGAAACAGGTATTTTGAAATTAAAAAAAATTAGTTTGTTTTTTTATGTAGAGTCCATTGAAGTCTTGGAGGCTTTCTGCATCATTTTTGTACTTGATGCATCATTTTGCCCAGATTGTTATGAACAGCAATCTGGGCAGCCCGGGTTTTTGGATCTGTCATGAAGACCTGTATTTAAAGAGCCTTTATTAGCTAAATATGTATATTTACCTATTACAGTCTCTATTTTCATGAGCTTACATTTATGTTATTAATGAAAATAAGAAAGCAAAATATCTTAAATTATAAGCTAATATATAACAAGTGACAAAAAATCTCCTGACCGGATAAAGCCAGTCATGGTACTCGGAGGGTTAATTTGAATTGTGCCAGTGTTAATGGTTTATACTATACAAATTTCTGTCATTACTGTAAACCAAGCACTCATATTCTAAAACAATTAAGTCATTCAACTTTTCATAATTTTATTGTCTATTATAATTTTTAAAAATTTCATCTAAAATTGATTTAAAAAATCATTCTGTGTATTCTATTCAATGGCAAATGGAAGTGATTTTTAACCTATGAGGATACGTGTTTGCTTTACTAGCATGAAGATGCAAGTTTCAGTGAAATATCTCAATTATATTACACCTATATCACATTATATTGCACCTACTCAGTTTCCAAACATTCACACAAATTAACATCATCAAAAGCATTATTTATTTATACATTTACTATTATTTAGCTATTTAAAAGAATCTTGAAATGGGATTTTTCTTTGGTTCTCTATAAACAGCATATCAGTTTAAAAATTTTTGCCACCAAATATTATCACTCTGCATTATTTTTAAAGAAATTAAGTAATGAAGAATCTGCTTGCATAAATGTATGTTCCTTGCATTATGAAAAAATGATGGCACCTAGAAATTTTGAATAATGTAGTTCTCCACCTCAGCATGTGCACCTGGAAGCCCGAATTTTGAATTTGTATTATTATATTTTATTTCATAGCTTGTAAAACACTAAGGAATTTTTTATTAACAAACTCGACGATTTGAAAGTGAGCAGTGGTAGCACTTTATGAAATGAAACATTTTTATCTGCAGCACATGAGACTGTTTCCATTTGGAAAAATATTAGATATTTATCATTTGGTTTTATCAGACTCGGCTCTATGAAAGCAATGTGTTGCCATGGTCAAAAATAAAATATTTTTATCTTCACCTACCAGCATGTTGCCATTCAGTAAAGCCTAATATCCTTTCAAATTTACTTTGGAAGTAATAAACTAAGCGAATTAAAAACAATAAACACTGTTCTTTTCTGCTTTTTAATGGCATTGATTTAAATAAATGCGTATTATAAAATCATAAGATGTCTAATTAGAAATATTTATGAAATTAATGATCTGGTCTCTTTAAAATCATTATGTACTTTTTCTTTTTTATAATGACTATTTTAAGTGACTGGCCGTATGAGGGGGTGTTTTCTAAGGAAATAATATAAATAATAGGTACGACTGCTGCCAACACTGTATTGAGATTTTTAAAAATATGCTGCTTTTAAATATTTTGAGATTTTGATGTTGAATTGAAATTTATACGGTGTGAATATATAGAACTTTATATTTCATAAATAGTCTTATTAAAAAGTTAATAACAAAAAGACAAAAATTTTTTGCTATCCATCTTTCTAGGAAAACTGAATATTGATATGATGACCTCAAAAAATATAAAAATGTATGCCATTACTTAACATTGCATCGAGAATCCTAATCATATGCTGCTATGCAGCTTTTAGAAATTTTGTGATTTTGGGTTTAATTATATGTGGCATAAGTGCGAAGATACCAATGCTTAATAATAAAGCTAAAATTTAAAAAAAAAAAAAAAAAAAAAAAGATTATCAGGAGTGAGGTGCAAAAGCAGACTGGTAGACACTGAGCTCATTGAAAGTGTAAAAAACCTTAACAAACCCTTTTGAACAACTGTTAAAATATCAGGATTTTTTTTAAGTCAGCAGTAGAGATTACCTGATAATGCAACATCCTACATAAAAAATTAGTCATATTTTGCACTTTATGTGCAGTTTTGATGGTTTGAATTGTAAGGGTGCCATATTCTGTAATTGTGCCAAACAGATTTTAGAGAGCTGGACTTTCATAGAAATTGTCATATTAATCTGAAATGCCTTTGAATTATACATTAATTTCTGTTTTAATTAAGGTTTAATGCTATAATTGTATGTATTTTTCAACTGAATGTGTAATATATTATATACTTATGTTGATTTCCTTCACTGTGTATGGACTGAAGTTAGATGTTTCACATAAGTATATTTTTTATTTATACTACAAAAATGTATTTCTCTGTATTACTTAAGCATTCTATACATATTTTATAAATTTTTGTAGTATTTAGTTATGTAATGGAGCTTTGTAGCTTGAGTTGTGTCTTCATTTAAA